TCAGCTGTGCCTTAGCTTCCTGCTGCTGCCACACAAATTATAGCAGACTTAGTGACTCCACACAAACTTGTCGTCTGTGATGGTCCTGTTGAGCCACAATCAGTGTCCCCAGGGCTGCATCCCTCCTAAGAGAGACTCTTGTTTCCTTGCTTTTCCAGCTTCCAGGGGTTCCTTCTTGGGTCATGGCGCCATCCATCTCAAAGCCAGCAACCACTGGTTGAGTCTCCAATTGCCTCTCTCTGACACGGGCTCTTCCGCCTTCCTCCTCCGTGTCTAAGCACACGCGTGATGACGTTGGGGCCATCTGGACAATCCAGGATCCTGTTTCCTCTGATTAGCCACAGTAATTCCATCTGCAGCCTTAATTTCCTTTGCCATTGCCTGTCACTAAGCTTTCCATTCCGTGACAAAATTTCTGAGAAAAACTATGTAAAGAGAAAGCTTTATTTTGGTTTCAGAAGTTTCAGCCCATGGTCATCTGACTGCATTGCTTTTAGGTCTGTGGTGAGGCAGAAGCAACATGGCGGAACTGCTCACCTCAGGGTGGCCAGGAAACAGAGAGAGCTGCAGAAGGGATTGGGGACAAGAAGCACCCTTCAAGGATGCGCCCCCAATGCCCTCCTTCCTCCACCTCTCCCGCAGCTCCCAATAGTACCCTCAGCTGGACACCAAGTCTTCAACACATCAGCCTTTCGGGGGACGATTAATATCCAAACCCAGATGCCTTGTGACATAGTGACAGTCTCTGGGGATTAGGGTGTGGTGCTCTTCGGGGAGGAGGTATTATTTTGCCCTGTCATAATCAGTAAATTTTCCCTGTGAAATTGCAAAGGATGTCTACTCTGTAGTTACTTTGTTGGGTCAAAATTGTTGATCATTTTGTTTAAATTTTCTGTACCCACACTGATATTTTTGTCTGTTCTACAAGTTATTGAAAGAGGTGTGTTAAACTACCCTACTATGATTTTGGATTTCTAGATTTTTCCTTTTGGTTCTGTCACTTTTTATTTTATATATATGGAGCTATGCTCATATGTGCATTCAAATTTATAATAGTGATATCTTCCTAAGAGATTGACTGCAGTGTTGGGATCAAATCCAGGGCCTCACATATGCTAGGCAAGTGCTCTACTGCTGAGCTAGACCCCCAGCCCCCAAACTGACTCTTTATCATCATGAAGTGTCCCTTTTATCCCCAGCAGTGCTTGTTATATTAAAGTGTACTTTACACTAAGTGTACCAACTTTTACTCAGTATTTTTGCAGTATATATATTTTTTATCCTTTTAATTTGAATCTTTCAAATGAAAATTTTAAATTCAGTTTGACATATTAATTTTTCATTGGAATATTTATCTTTTTGTATTTAAAGTCATTACTCATGCACATTACATTTATTTTATTTACTTTGACCTTTTTTGTGCTACTGTCATTAAATGTAGCTTTTACTAAAACCTTGACCCAAATGCCAGCAACTTCAGAGAAGAAATTTGGGTGGAGAGAAGAGTTATTTCACTTAGGAAAAATAACCACTCTATTTTTCCTGATCGTTGACACCCACAATTTAAGCATAAACAACTTCTGTGACACTTTAGACCTCTCCTATGTACTGGAGCAGTAACAAGTTCTTAATACGGTTAGGCTTTTAAACAGTAGGTCAAGGCTTTACATAAAAATACCACTTTACTTTTCCCCACTAAGTTTCTAAAATATCACATACTTTATCTGTATCTGCAACCATCTGGGAATTTTTAGGAAACTTTTATGCATAATCTTATTCCTAATACCTGGCTCTTTAAACTCAGTGACAAAAGATTGACACCTCCAAAAACAATGGCCAGGGAGGTGTCATCTGAGATGGGCGTTGGAGGCAGTTCCTCACCTTCCAGGGCTAGGGTGTGTGATCTGTGCATTGTCTGATAGTCTTCTCTAAATTCATGATTAAATCAGCAAATTTGCCATTTGTTTTTCTATGGTCCCACCTTTTCTCTCTCACTTTTTGGTCTTCTTTTGAATTTTTATCATTCCATTTTTTTTTTTGGTAATAACTTGTGAGTCCCATGTTGATACACAGTTCTTTTAGTGACGCCATAGGACAAATAACAGTGCTCCTAGGCATGTTAAAGTTTAATGTAAATTCATATTTTTGCTACTTCCAGGACAAAGGAAGGACACTGAACTACTTTACCTGAGTGTGTCTCCCCCGACCTTTTGTTCCTGTTGGCGTCCTGGGTTTGAAACCTCACAAGACGTAATTGCTTTTGCTTTTTTCCATCAGCATTTACTTAGCTTGGTACACAGCCATCCTTTTTGGTGGTCTCCATAGGAATCTCCATGCTCGCCTCAGGGGTTACTTTCTCTCCCCCCAATGCACTTTCTTTAGTATTTCCTTCAGGGAAGTTCTGCTGGTGAGGCCGACCTCGAACTCTCACTCCTCCTGCCTTCACTTCCCAAGCTGGCTATGGGAGTGCACACCATGCCTGGCTCAGAGTCCTCTCTCTTGATTTCTAAAGGATGTTTTCAGTGAATGTAGAATTCTGTGGAGCCAGTTATTTCCTTCCAGCACTTGGGAGATTTCTTCCTTTCTCCCTTCCTTTTATTGAAAAGTTATTGACTTACTCCATTTTGTGCTGAGTTTTAACTGAGACTGAGTTGGTAGTTTTTAGTTTTTTGGTACTGGGGTTTGAACACAGGGACATCTTAGTATTGAGCTACATCCCCAGCCCTTTCATTTTTTAATTTTGAGACAGGGTCTTGCTAAGTCTCTGAGGCTAGTCCCGAACTTGCAATCCTCCTGCCTCAGCCTCCAGAGTAACTGAGATTACAGGCTTGCAGCACTGCGCTCTGCAAGACAGAGTGATTTATAAGGAACAGGAGTTTATTTCTCACAGTTCTAAGGCTGGGGAGGCCAACAGCACGGCACCTGCAGCTGGTGAAGGCGATCTGACTGTGCATCCCACGGCTGAGCAGGGAGGGAAGGGGAGGGGCATCAGAACCAGAGGGAGCCACCTTGGCCACCATGACATTAGTGCCCCACGGGGCAGAGTCCTGTGACCTCCACTCCCTTGTTGAACCTGCCTGCCTGAGCTGCTGCACTGGGGTTGCATTTCTAACACGTGAGCTTGGGGGACACATTCAAGTCACAGCAGGAAGCTATCCTTGCTGTTGCTTCTTGGAAAGTAGAACATCCTTCTCTGGGTGCTTTTAAGATCTTCCTCTTGTCTTTGATTTACGGTTTTTTCACGTTCAGGCCCTCATTTGTGGTCTAGCTCAGCATTTCCCACGTTCGGAGTTCCTGAGGTTCTTGAACCTGTGGCTTACTGTATTTCGGTGGTTTGAGGAACATTCCTAGACACCTTGTGTTCTAGTATCATTTCTGCCCTGATCCCACTTCCCATTTCCCGGGACTCCCTGTGTGTCAGGCTTTTGCGCGGTGCCTGATGTTTGCTGAACCCTTCTCGGCACTCCATGTTCCCCTTTTTCGTTTGATTTCTTGAATAGAGAAATTCCTCCCTGCATCTGGCCTGTTGTTAAATCT